CCTGGCTGGTACTGACGTCCCGCCGGGCTCGACTAGACGTCCTGGTCGAGTCCCAGTCTTGGGGAATGGGCAGGAAGTTTTCAGGAGGGTAGGTTGGGAGCCAGCGGGCCTGGCGCGCAGGACACTTGTTTGTGGCGCCGAGTGCTTAGGACTGTCAATCAAGACGCCCTCTTCGGGGCGGGATGGCGCGCGCAGCGGACACCTGAGGATCCGTGCGCGCAGAGTGGGAAGGGGCGGAAAGGGAGTGGACACGCGACAACCTACACTTCGTTCGGGGAAGGGACCGAAAGACCGTCCACCGTGACACAACTCTTTATAATCTGAACCAGTGGGTGGCTCTGAAAAGAGCCTTTGAGTTCGCCTACGTCCCCCCCGAGCGGCGGCCTCACTTGCCCTTGGCCTTATGGTGGCTCTCGGTCTTCTTGGGCAGCAGCACGGCCTGGATGTTGGGCAGGACGCCGCCCTGCGCGATCGTCACTTTGCCCAGCAGCTTGTTGAGCTCCTCGTCGTTGCGGATGGCCAGCTGCAGGTGGCGCGGGATGATGCGCGTCTTCTTGTTGTCGCGGGCCGCGTTGCCCGCCAGCTCCAGGATTTCGGCCGTCAGGTACTCCAGCACGGCCGCCATGTACACGGGCGCGCCGGCGCCCACGCGCTCCGCGTAGTTGCCCTTGCGCAGCAGCCGGTGCACGCGCCCCACCGGGAACTGCAGCCCGGCGCGGGACGACCGCGACTTGGCCTTGGCGCGGGCCTTGCCACCTTGCTTGCCGCGGCCAGACATGACGAGAAAACGCAAACACACACTCTCGCAAACAGGAAACTGTACGCCGGCGCCGGCGCCTGACCCTTTTATAGGCAGAGTCCCGATTGCCCGACCGACGCTCTCATTGGCTCGCACGCGGCCTCGCTTCCTGCCCAATGAGGGCGCGCGCACAGAATCCGCTCATTTACATAAGCCCCGCTCCCTCGCCCGAGCGCCGCCGCCAACGCGCGAATCACCACGCGCGTGGCCAGAGCCCTCATTTGCGTGCGGCCGTTCTGAGGCCCGGGTCCTCCAAGGCTATGCCACCGGCCTGCCGCGCTGGGATAGTCGCCCCGTCGGTCGGCTTGGCTTGGCTTCGCTTGGGTTCTGCGGGGGCGCAAGCGGGCCGGGTGCGCCCCGCCTCAGGTTTGCCGGATGGACTAGAGTTCTGTTGTGGTGGAATTGTAAGTCTTGTGGAGAAATTGGCCACAGTGAAGCCCCCAGGTTTTTCGCTTGAACAACTATCTGGGTAGACAGTGTTAATTGGATGGAATATGGAGAAGTGATGTCGAGAAGTTGAATGTCTCATTAAATTGGATAGCTTGATATTCAAGTGGACATGTGGAGTCACATTTGAGAGATTGACATGAACGTAGAATTCAGCTAAGACCTTAGTTTTCCTTTTTTCGCAGTGTCACCTTCCCTCAGTGTCTCCCAGCGCGCTGTGCAGCAGAATCATCTCTCTGCGCAGCCAGTTGCTACATTGTTACCTTGGCTCCTGCCACATTGCTGCTGTGCTGTTGGTGCTGCACTTTTTCCTCCCACAGAGTCCCTGCAGGGTGGGGCCCAGGCCACCTTGGGTATTTCTGCTCCAAGTAGCCAGATGTTTCTAAAAATTCAACAGAAAGAGATAGACTTGAGCCAGACTCTTGTATAATTAATTCCCAGGGAACTTCCTAAACAAGTATCTGACAACCCAAGGGCATAGAGGTGGTGTATAGAGGGCGGTTTGACTTCAGCATGGGGAGAGCTACTTCAGGAACCTAGTCCCTACAGAAGCAGGTGCTTGTGCTTTGGAAAAACAAAAAGACCTCTCTTGTGACAATAGGGTAACTGAGAGCTGACTGAAAGCCTGCCATCTCTGCCTTATTTTGTGTATGTCTCCCTTTCTTTGGCTGAAGGCACAAAGTCAATGTCCTACCTTTCTCTTGCATCATATCAGAAGGGAAGGCCATACATACCCTAGAGCTGAAAAGATCTTTTGTATGAGTTCAAGTGATGTCCTCACATGATGACATAACAACTTGCAGGGTCAGAACTGTAGCCACGGTCTAAGAGACCACACACTACCAGGACTGCTGAATTATGCTTACCTTGTGCCTGTCCCAGTTCCTCTGCTTAAGGTTCATGCCAGTCAGTATCCTGAAGATAGACGTGGGGGGTGGGGTGGTGTACTTACTGGATTCATATTTGCTCCTCTTCCCAATACAGCTATCTTGACTAAGTCTCTACTTTGATTTTCTCTTGAATTTGGATGAGTGATTGAGTCTCCCAGGCCTTTATCCTAAAACCTTTGGTTACTATAATAAGTCTATCTCCCAACTTGTTTGTGTTGCTTTATATTCTAAGGACACTGGGACAAGTTTATGACTTTTGGCTTTGTGGAATATGGCCGAAGTGAGGATATATTGATTACATTGAATAACATTGCCCTGTTGGGTGAAGGAACAGACTTTAGAAACAAGTTGACAACTATGTTTAGGAAAATAACTTGGAGTGGGGGAAATGCATTTTTTGTTGGAGGTCTTTGAAAGATTGAGAAGAAGCAGTCAGTGGCAGAATGGGATAGGTGGCCATTTGCACAGTGAAATGTGACAGCTCCAGCTGTAGTTAAGAGTCTGAAGCTTTGAAACTGGGTTTGCTTATTTTAGCAAATACAAAATGACTTCAGTGCAAGAAGAGTATATTTCCAGAAAACATTCATGTAAGACCTTGTACACAAGTCTCAGATGAAATATTTAGCCACAGATAATATTTGACAAGTAGCAATGAAATCAAATTGTACAGATCACCCAAATGCTAAGGTCTTGCTACAAAGTACAACAGAAGATTGGCAATGGTAACATGAAAGCTGGCCCTGCATCAGGGAACCATAGGGATCTTTTGGAATGTAATCGATGCCGAATTAACTGACTAAATTTTATGTTTTAGGTGTTTGCCAAAAACCTCATGTATAGCTATCTCTGTGCTCTTGTCTGTGTTTAACATGGCAGTGGACTGTGGCTTAATGACAAGCATGCTAGACATTGGTAGGGGCTTCAAAGAAACCAAATTTGAATCAAAAGTTTAATCCCAAAGGTTAATCATGTTATCAGTCCTCCATGGGATATCTCTCTTGAAGTCTCTGTATTGTATAGCTATTTCCTCCAAATGAAAACATTTTTTCATGCAAAGCCTGGAGGCCTAGAAGACCCAGGAGATAAAATTTACAAGGCTCAGAAAACTTTGGAAACAAAAGCCATAGGACTTGTCCCCAGGGTTTTAAATTAAACGTGGTGTGATACATCAAGGGATGGACAGGTGAAAGGACCAACAGATGCCATAACAAGCATCAGGCTTCAATTTCAGTTTCCTGAGACTGAACAAGCAGTTTCTGAAGAAAAGCCACGAATGAAGGACAATCTCCAATAGCCCCAACAGCAAGGATGAGACCTGGACCATATAGTACTTAGGATTGGCCAGGCCTGAGCCAGCCTCCACAGCAGCTTAGGGACAGGGCGTGGGACTTGTCCAGGCCTGCCCAAAAGTGGAAAACTACCCCTGACCAGCCCATCCTTATGTGAGATGTCTAAGCTTTTATGTTATCTTAGAGCTAGCCCAATCCTGACCCCACAGGATAGCTCAGTCATTTCCCCCTAGACTCTTATCTTGAGCATTGTTTGAGTCAACAGTACCTATCTCTATGGAAGAATCACATGTATTTTGTAAATAGTTTTAATGTAAGCATGTCTTAAGCTTTGTTGTACACACAGGATCGAGTTAATTGTCATCAGGAAACTTTTTCCCCCCAAAATTGTGCCCTGTTTAAATATACCTAAAATAAACCACATGTCAGACTAGAAATTTGGCCCAGCCCTGGCTAGATAAATTGGGCTGAACCAAGTTTTCTTGTTTCCCTGCCCGCCATGACACTTGCAGGGTCCTCCACACACATATCTCTAGGAAAAGTCGCATAGTACTCTGGTATTAAGGTGATATATTCACACTTGAATTTAACGTTGTTGAAAAAATAAACTGAAATAGAAGCTGTGAAATAATATGGGTGGTGGTGTTGATGGATTTCTTACGTGGTCTCTGCCCTTGTGTGAGGCTAGGGTTGGGATCACAGACAGATCACCGGGGCCTTCTGGCTAGCAAGTCTAGCTGAAACTAAGCTCCAGGTTGAATGAAAGATCCTGCATCACAGAAAAGAAAAAGAGAGAGCAATGCAGAGGAGTGGAGGTAGACATTCCACTGTCCTCTTGCTATGTGGAAGAGCGCGTACATATGTACACACAGCTAAGTCTTAGAAAATGCCTTTCACTCATATATCAAATGTCAGTGGAAAGTCAGTATGACTTCATTAGATATGCTTAGCATATTTAGAATGTGTAAATAAAGGTGTGCTTTGTAGTTTAGTAAATGTAACATTGCACCATAGTGTATTTGAACTAATATATGACTCTTGTATTATTGTAGTAAAGTTTTGTTTTCCAAGACAAGGTTTCTCTGTAGTTTTGACTGCCATAGGTTTTTGTGTAGGCTTTACTATTTTGATTTGTTTTGCTTTCCAGGATGAAACTCTCGGAAGAGAGCTAGCTAGCAAAGGTAATTTTGAAATAGATGTTGTGATGGCTATTCTTGTTTGTCAACTTGACTACATCTAGAATTAGCAAAAACCCAAGTGGCTGGGTATACCTGTGAGGCATTTTCTAGGTTAAATCATCTAGTCCTGGCGCACGCCTTTAATCCCAGCACTCGGGAGGCAGAGGCAGGCAGATCTCTGTGAGTTCGAGGCCAATCTGGTCTCCAGAGCGAGTGCCAGGATAGGCTCCAAAGCTACACAGAGACCCAGTCTCAAAAAACCAAAAACCAAACCAAAACAAAACAAAAACCATCTTAAGTGGGATGACCCAAGTCTTTTGAGATGGGAAGATCTCCCTTAAATCTGGGCCACACCTTCTTGTGGCAGCCTATATGAAAGGCATGGAGAAGGAGACCCTTGCTTTTTGCCTGCTTGCCCTCACTAGCAAGTTCATTCCTTCACCTGCATTAAAGCCTACTTCTTCAGGATTCTGGGATAGTGTGTGCATCTTAAATCTCTCATGATTTAGGGTGTATTCAGATGTTAATCCAGGATAATCTCTCAGTCTTAGAATCTAATAGGCAAATCTTTTCCCCCACTTAAGAAAATATTGATAGATTCTGAAAAATTAGACTATATACACCATACCAGAGCCATCAGCTATTGGTTTGTTTTCAACTTTATCCATACAAAAGATATATTTAAGTTTAACTCATAGTATTTTAGTATTTTGCCTTATTTGAAAGCATTTGGCAGATGTAATCAAGTTAAATTAATTACAGTAGGATTATATCCAGTGCAATGTAATAGCTTCATAAGAAAACAGAAACAAGGGTTAAAAGGGATGACAGGTGAATATGATCAAAGTACATTACTTACTTGCATGAAATTGTCAAAGAATAAAATTTAAAACTTGCCAGGGAAAGAGGATGAGGTAGAGCATACAAAAAGAGGACTGAGGCAGATTGGAGTTATGCTACCACAAACAAAAATATCTCAGCTTCTAGCTGCAGAGAGATGAGGAAGTATCTATCCTAAAGTAGTAAAGGGAGTCCACCAGCCCTGCCACATCTCCACTTCAGAGTTCTAGACTCCTGTGTCACTAACAATGTGGTACCTAACTTTGGCAGTCTTAAGAATGCAGCTGCTAAAAATTTCAATATAATTGTTGAAATTTATGAATAGAATTTTAGGTTATAAGAATTCCAAACTTTTCTGTGGAGGTAATATAAATCTTTGGCCCTCATGAAATGCTGATTTTAACATTGTGCCCAAATGTGTCTTTGGAAGCCTCTATTTTTTCTTATCAACCTATTTGACTTGTATAACTTGTGAGGCGCCTAGCAGTGAAACACTAAGCATTTAACAGGCAGGTCTTACAATGTTTCAAGAAGGCAAACAGGACATCATTATTACCAGCTAATTCCTAGGTATGTTCCACCTTCCTCAATAGAAAGTCTCTACATAGATCAGAATGTGCTTGAGAAAAGGCATCCCAAGACTTGTAGAAATTTAAACGTTGGATTTTCTAAGTAAACATGAACGCAGCAACATTCAAAAATTCATTGTACTTAGAAAATAGGTTTGTTGACTTACACATTCACTATCATTTCCTGTATATAATCAAAATAGTTAACCAACGGCTCAGCTCAAGCGAATCAGGGTGGAAAAAATGAACTCTGAAGACAACTAGAAAAGCAGGAGCGACCTAAATTAAAACACTCGCAGCAATTCTATATAAGGATCATTTGGGGGGCCTAGAACTGTAAGTCATAAATAAGAGGGCTAAGGCAGAGAGACACTGGTAAAGTGTCAAAATCAAACCACTATTTCTTCACCCCCTCCCGACATTATCTTATAAATTACACCAAATTGCTTCACCTTTCCATATCCTTAGCTTGAAAAAGCAGCAGTTATTGCTTATTCCGCCATAATGTCTGGCCGCGGCAAGCAAGGAGGCAAGGCCCGCGCCAAGGCCAAGTCGCGGTCGTCCCGCGCCGGGCTGCAGTTCCCGGTGGGGCGCGTGCACCGGCTGCTGCGCAAGGGCAACTACGCGGAGCGCGTGGGCGCCGGCGCGCCCGTGTACATGGCGGCCGTGCTGGAGTACCTGACGGCCGAAATCCTGGAGCTGGCGGGCAACGCGGCCCGCGACAACAAGAAGACGCGCATCATCCCGCGCCACCTGCAGCTGGCCATCCGCAACGACGAGGAGCTCAACAAGCTGCTGGGCAAAGTGACGATCGCGCAGGGCGGCGTCCTGCCCAACATCCAGGCCGTGCTGCTGCCCAAGAAGACCGAGAGCCACCATAAGGCCAAGGGCAAGTGAGGCCGCCGCTCGGGCCCGCGTCTCGGGGGGGACGTTCGCGAACTCAAAGGCTCTTTTCAGAGCCACCCACTGGTTCAGATTATAAAGAGTTGTGTCACGATGGACGGCCTTCCGGTCCCTTCCCCGAACGAAGTGTAGGTTGTCGCGTGTCCACTCCCTTTCCGCCCCCTTCCCACTCTGCGCGCACGGGTCCCCAGGTGTCGGCTGAGCGCGCCATCCCGCCGTCCTTCCCGGAGAGGGCGTCTTGATTGACAGTCCTAAGCACTCGGCGCCACATGTCATGGTCCGGACCCCACCGCAACCGTTGAGAGGTAGTATGAACTGCAATTTCTAAAGTAGTTTCCTCTGACGGAATTGTTGGAGCCGTTCTCCGGAGCGATCAAATGTGAGAAGTGCTGATGACTCCAGGAATTAATTTCTTGTCAATTTTCCTTTCAGATTTCATTAAATGTGTGCTCTAAATGACTCCTTTGTTTACATAAAGAAAAAATTCGTTGATTTCCAAACCCAACGTTTTCTTGTGATTTTAGTTCCTGGGGTATGCTAGAATAATTTTTACGCTAAAAACGCAACTCGTACATTTAAAAGAGGACGTAGGCGACGAACTACCCTTTTATTACTGGATTGAAACGCGGACCAATCCCATGTCTGGATCTATGATGTCAGCAATTGACTGTCCAATCCAGCACGGAGGCTCGTTATATATACACGAAGCTTTTCGGCAGTTCTCCATTGTGTTGTTTTTCATCCAGTGAAATGGCTCGTACCAAGCAGACAGCTCGCAAGTCCACTGGCGGCAAGGCCCCGCGCAAGCAGCTGGCCACCAAAGCTGCTCGCAAGAGCGCCCCAGCGACTGGCGGCGTGAAGAAGCCTCACCGCTACCGGCCCGGCACCGTGGCGCTGCGCGAGATCCGGCGCTACCAGAAATCCACCGAGCTGCTGATCCGCAAGCTGCCGTTCCAGCGCCTGGTGCGCGAGATCGCGCAGGACTTTAAGACCGACCTGCGCTTCCAGAGCTCGGCCGTCATGGCGCTGCAGGAGGCGAGCGAGGCCTACCTGGTGGGGCTGTTCGAGGACACCAACCTGTGCGCCATCCACGCCAAGCGCGTCACCATCATGCCCAAGGACATCCAGCTGGCCCGCCGCATCCGCGGGGAGCGGGCCTAAGTTACGCTTCTAGGAAATCGACGTAAAAAGGCTCTTTTCAGAGCCACCACGTGTGCCCCGAAGGAGCTGTTCGCGTCTCTGTCCTCCCGTTCGTGTTTTTCCTCCTGGGGAGGCCGGTTTTGGGGTGGATACCGGGCAGCAATCAGTTTGGTAGTCTCTGGGTGTTGCACAAATATCCCTCCAAGTTACTTTAAGTTTTTCAGTGCATGTGATGTTAAAGTACCCGTACCCGATCCCCCAGTTCCTGCTTGTAGCCGTTCCTCTAGTTATTATTAAAACTCTTTGCCTTCTGTTTCTATAGATCCTTTGTTTTTCGACTCTTACGCTGTCACGAATTCCCGAATTTAGTGAAAAGGCTTTGGGTGCTAAAAGTTGCGAGTGAACACTATGAGACCAAATGTCACATGTCTCATTGGCTACTCCATCAGCCTGCCTGTCTTCTGACCTCTAGAGAGAGATGTATTTTCAACTGCTGGCATGCGTTGTTTACTTAAGTCTCAAAATGAAAATATTCGTACATACCTAGCAGAGTTAACAATCATCTTGCAAGAGGTACCCCCCCCCCCCCCGTCTTGTTTGGGAGATCATGACTTATTACAAGACAGGATTTTTACCGTTTATTTATTTTTCATTTTTTTTACTTCAGCCATTATTTACTTTCAGGTGAGGTATATTGGGTTCAGATTTAATTGGTAGTATGATGGGATACAGGTTCTGTTGCTTTTGTTCAAAATAACCCTTCCTTTTGCAAATTCATAGAATCCCTCATTTTTCAAGATTCATCCCACACCGGTCTCTCCCCTTTCCCTTTGGCTTCTCTTCGGGTCATCTTCCTCCTCCTCTCCTCTCCTTCACTCTTACACCTCTTCTTTCTCTACCCTCAGCATGGGGCCAGCAATTGTTCCTCATGGAGTAACTCCTCCCCGGTGTCTTAGACACCTCAGGAAATGTTTACCGATGGACTTGATTTGTCTGATCCATCTTTCTTTTAAAGTAATACTTGGGCTCTCGGGGCCAGATCTCTTGATGTTATGATCAGCTCTGGGCTGGAATTATGGCAAGACGTTTTAAGGTCCTTGAGGCAGGTCCCAAATCAAGTGAGCAGAACACTTCTAGTAAGCAATGTTTGAAGCCTAAGGTGCCCTTTGCCCCAAAGTGACCTCACTTCTAGCTTTAACTTGCTTCCAGATATAATAATTGGCTGTACTTCCGCTAGCCCACCCCCCCAACCCCATGGCACTCTCTGAAGGTTGATGGCCAAGGGAAGGGCTCTAAGGATTCAGTGCTGCTGAGATTTCTTTGGGGAGGGGGTGGAGCTCAGCACGGGACCCGCCAAAATTACCAGCAAAGAGTGGCAAGGAGAGGAGGGAGAGAGAAAGGGAGTGGGAAACAAGCTTTAAGAATCTTGTTGCTATGAATTGGGACAATTCCATGGGAATGTAGGACCTGACTCCAGACTCTAACTGGAGAAGGACCACAAGAAAAGATGTGGGCCTCAGTTTCTTTGTCCTGAATAGAATTGTATCCACATTGCTTGCTGTAAGAATGAAGATAATTTACAATTCACACAAAATGCTTAAGACAAAGGCTCACATGTGGTGATTGTTAGGTCCAAAGTGGGCCCAGCAAAATGCAGTTCTGGCGATAATGTGTTCTAAGCAGGACAGGAAAGCAGAAGTATTGTTACTGGGTGAGGAGGCGTAGAAGCCTCTGTTTCTGTTTGCCAGGAACTTCCCTTAATCTGCTGAGATCCTCCCTTAATCCATCCCAAAGGTCAGTTTACCTCAGGCAAAGGCATCTAGTTCCTAATTAATCTGAACAGTGAACAGTTTAGAGATCCACCATGCTGACAGTCATAAAATCTACTTGTTTTTTAACCACTTTGCTCTTCTCTCTGCCCACCCGCTGCAAGAGAAAGATAGTCCTGTAGTTTGATCCCTAATGAACCTTTCTACCCATGGGTTGATTCAGTATGGTGGTTTCCCTGTGTCCTCTATTACAGCAATGGGCACTAATGGTATTGTTAACATTAATGACTTCAGAATTGTATTACTAACTTTTTCTTGTTGCTATGAGAAACACCCAACAGAAGCAATTCAAGTGCAGACAGTTATTTTGGTTTAAGAAGGTATAGGGAAGCTGGTTGTGGTGACACACACTCTTAATCCTAGCACTCTGGAGGCTGAGGCAGGGGGATCCCTGAGTTTGAAGCCAGTCTGATTTACATAGTGAATTCAAGGACAGCCAGGGCTACATAGACTATGTCTCAAAAACCAAAACCAACCAAACAAACCCATAAGGGGTAAGGTGAAGGGAGGGATGGCAGTGAGGGTCGGGAGCAGGTGATCACATTGCAGCAATATTCAAAAAACAGTTGTTGGTGCTCTCTGCTTGCCTACTGTTTTAGTCGAATCCATTGGATGGTACTGCTACATTCAGAAGTTGTCTTCCCTCCTCAGTTAAGCTTGCCTGAAATCACCCTCACTAATACTGTGGAGGTATGTCTCCTAGGATATTTGAATTCCAGTCAGCTTGACAATAAAGATTAACCACCATAGGTATATCATTGTAAATCTTGATTATGACTATCTTGGAAAAAAATGATACCAAATCAGTTGGCAGATAATTTGAAATACATGTCCAGTTTCTAGACATGTGGTCTAAACCTGAATATGCCTGTGTTTCTTAGTATTGTACAGCTGGCCTTTCACTAAACTCATTTTTCACAAAGGCACTAAGACAGAAAGCCTGTTTTATTTCTGTTGAACATATACAAAAACTATGCCTATGCGGACAGTGGAGCCTGGGTCTTGTGTTTTCCTTTTCTTTTTGTACCAATCCACTGTCACAGAGAATTAGACATGAACAATTACATGACCTATGGCACAATATATCTTAGTGCAATTTGGAATCAGCTATTGCTGATTTCTGATGACTTAAAGCTATAGAAAAATATTCATTTTACTACCTAGTAAACATATTCAAATATATCTAAAATGGAAACTAATTGCACGAAGTGATATTTTCAATCCCTGTCTATTTCGTGAGATAAAAATTTTAAAATGATACTGCCTCCCATCTAAGTGGATGTTACCATGTACTAACGGGTTACAATCATTCAAGAGTTATAAAGTACAATTGCATCAAATCCTTAAGACAGGGTTTCACATGTGGTAGTACATTGGGCTGTCAACATGGCACTTGGCACTTCCTGCCAAGCCTTATGACCTGGGATGCAATGTTAAAATATTTTGGACTAGGTAGTTTATGAACAGAAATGCATTGTTGACAGTTCTGGAGGCTGGGAGGACCAGGTGCTGGCAGGTTTGTGTCCAGTGATGGCATTTCTCAGAGATGGTCCTTCAAAGTGTCCTCAACACAATGGGAGAAGTGCACAGTTCATTCACTAATCCCATTGGTGAGGGTTCTGCTCTTATGACTTAATTGTCTCCTGTCCTGTCTAGGTTTTATGTCGGTTTGACACAAGCTAGGTCATCTGGGAAGAAGGAATCTTAATCCAGAAAACGCCTCCATCACATTGACCTTTGGCAAGTCTGTAGGGTGTTTTCTTGATTGATGAGTTATTTGGAGGACCCAACCAGTTGTAGGTAATGTCATCCCTGGGCAGGTGGTCCTGGAGTTGTAAGAATGCAGGCTGATGGGGCTGGTTAAGAACACTAGCTGGGTAGCCGGGCATTGGTGGCGCACGCCTTTAGTCCCAGCACTCGGGAGGCAGAGGCAGGTCCATCTCTGTGAGTTCGAGGCCATCCTGGTCTCCAGAGCGAGTGCCAGGATAGGCTCCAAAGCTACACAGAGAAACACTGTCTCGGAAAAAAAACAAAAAGCAAAGAACAAAAAAAAAAAAAAAAAACACTAGCTGGTTTCAGAGGTCCTAAATTCAATATTCAATTCCCAGCAACCACATAATGGGTCACAACCATCTGTTGCCCTCTTCTGGCCAAAGGGATACATGTGGACAGAACACTGTAGTCATAATAAATAAATAAATAAATAAATAAATAAATAAATAAATACAGACTGAGAAAGCCTTGGAGAGCAAGCCTGGAAGCTTCCATGGCCTTTGCTTACGCCCCTCCCTCCTCCAGATACCTGCCCAACTTGAGTTCCTACACTGATTTTCCTGGATAAAAAAATGAAACAAACAAACAAAAAAACCAAAAACAGTTCTAGAACAACTGT